CCTGCGCTGTTCCGGGCACGCTCTGCCCTCTATCGGCTCCCAAAGGGAAAACCCAGTACACACCAAAACAAAAATTTCTCCCATACCAATTCCAAAGATCACACCAACTACGAATAGTAATATGCTTGAATTAAGACTGAGGTAGAAACAGAAAACAGAAATTCTGATAAATTATCAGAATTAGTATAAGTGAACTTATTTCTGATTCTGAGGACTCATCCCATAATAACTACACTCTATCATGACTAAATTCTGATGTATTTAGTTCTCAGCTGACAGCTAATACCAGGCACCATAAAAGCAGTTCTCAAGGTAAGGTTTCATATCTCCCAGTGGTTAAGAACATGCTTTTTGCTGTTTCCACATTTGCTACATCTGATGAGAAAAACCACCTCTAAGAAACCCTTGGAAGCATACACAGAAATAAAGATATTCAAGAGCAAGCAGCAGCAAATGTGGGAATGCAAATTCTCATGTTATTAACCTCAGATTTTGGGTTAGACACTCATTCCAGTGAACAACTGGGAAATTGTAAGGCTGTTACTTTCTAAGGCCTTGTACTTCCCACCCTCTTCCACAAGCTTTGTAAGACTTACTTCAATTCTCTTCTTGACCACAGCCTCCAAAAGGAGAATAATTCCAGAACAGAGAGCAACATGGCATTTACAATTATAAATCTTGAGGTCCAGTAATGCACATCTAGCCAATCCCAAGCAAATTCAGCTATCAGCTGGTATGGCAAAAATAAATACTTTACAGTGAATTCTCTCCACTGCCTCCAAGAAGGATCTTTAAGGTCCTGTAAATTAGGATAAAGAGACTGTTAATCAATTTTCTATTAAACTTACTTACTACTGGCTTATTTCTACTAGTCTTTTATTGAAAAGCTGGGGGTTTTACACACTGAAAGCAGTAATTCATTATACTTGCTAGTAGATAATACTGTAATGCAATAATTTCCATTAGATTAGAACATCACTTTCTGGAGTCATGTGAGGTTCAGAAGAATCAGTTTCACACATTTAAAGTCTTAAAAGCCTAAAATCAATCTTATTAAAGGTAATGGCTGCAACATTGGTGATTGCATACAATAAAATCAAAGAACCACTGTAGATCTGCTGTTTTTAAAGTCATAGTGTAGAGATGAAATTATGAATAATTACATCATGTATTTTTATGCTGCTAGTCTGAAAATGCTTATAACTAAAGCAAGCAGCATATTTGATGTTTTGAATACTTACAAGTAGTTTTGTGACAGTATCTTCATACTTGTCTTCTTGCATAGGACAAATTGTGTGGATGAAAGGTAGGAAAGCTTCTGTGTAATCAAACAGATATAGGTATAACATACTGAGTCTTGGAGAACTCTTCAGTGCATACAGAAGAAAGAGTGATTTTCCTGGGTTTACGGCCTAAAAGATATCAAATTATTAAGTTTCAATCAGTAAAAAAATAATATGAAAGGGACATGTCACTTCTTAGATTTTCTGACAAACAGTTTTTGAAGGTTTTTTTTCCAATACAACAGGTCACTTAAACTGAGCAGTTTTTACACAGGTAACTTTAACTACTTTAACACTCCTCCTGGTTTTAAGAGAATCTTCTTGGTTTTAAGAGAATCTTCTTTTAAGGGTATTACTTTAAAAATTATTAATATACATGACATGACACACTTTTATATAAAATTTACCTTATACTCCCAAAGGTTCTGTGGTGGTTTAACACCTAAAGTTTTCACACATTCCAGCTCTGCTGTAAGAGCTCTCCTGTGGTTACTGTTCTCTATGCTGTAAGGCTCTTTGGTGAAATCCTCTTCAGTCAGTGTTAGGAGGAGTCTACAAAAGCAGAAGAATTAAGAAGGTAAACAGTGTCTATTCACCAAAAAAGATGACTAACAAATATACACAGCTGCACACTGAAACAACAGGCTACTGATACAAGGTAGCACCTTTTGGGTTAAAGAATCAGAGAATACTTTGGGTTGGCCAACTTTAAAAGATCATCATTACATTGCCTATCAAGTGCTCTATGCCAACTGCATCTCAGAACCTGGGTTTTAAATTTCCTCCTTTTCCAGTTTCCTCTTGCCTGCTTTCAGTATGGCTCTTGGGTGGAATACATATGCATAGAGCACATGCACATTTCCACAAGAAAGGGAAGGTGCAAGGGGTGGATAATACATCAGCAGAGTTTTACTCTTGTTATCATTTCAGTCTGCATTGTCAGCATTTTAACAAGTTCTTAGAAAATTTTCAGGAAGCTTGCTAAGTATCTACTACTACAAGTTTTCAACAGCAACTGCTAAAATTTCTTCTGAAATTTCTTTTGATACATCAACAGAATACTCCCACAATCTATGTCACACAGTATGATCATTTCACAATAAGCCACCCCTAATGAATCTGTCACAGTCCAATCACATAATAGCTGTCCTTGACCACAAGGCCTCTCACCTGCCATTTACTTTCTCCAGTAAAAATCCTTCTTTGTAATGTGAAGCCCATGGGCCCAGCTGCTCCAGCCACAGTATCACTTCCTCAGCAGTCCACTTAGCAACAGGCTTGTGGACAAGAAGATCATCTTCAAATTCTCTGCTACTCCAGTGATAGCCAAGTAGAACTACCTACAGGTAGATTACAAATATAAATAAAGATCCTTTACTTGCAAAGCAAATACATGAATGATATAAATAAACACACAATAAGAGGCTCCACACGTAGAGTCCTCCATTTCATGGAGACTAGAACATTCAGGTTTTAGGAAAGTATTTAATTATCCATTTGCTGTTCACTGCAGTTGTAGCTCCTGACAGACAGCTCTGAAGGCCACTTTACTTACTCTGCCCAGCTGGAGTCTCTTCTGTGCTGACAATGTTTTTACTGTGCATGTAATTTAAGAATATTTGACTGTATGCTTAAGGGAGCAAATAAGGAAAACCAACCAGATGAAACTTACTGCTACACAAGTTAAAGCTGTCAGAACACCTGAGAAAAACCCTCCTCGAGGATTAATTCTTCCTGTGTTTGGAACTGTAGGCATCTGGTCATTCCCATGCTTTTGGAAAGTTGCTAAGCTGCGTGCTACATCACTGTTCTGTTCAATATCTTCTTTTCTTTGTTCAATGGCATCAGAAAATAGCTTTTCAATAACATCCCTGATAGGAAAAATATTTGTCATTATACTGTAACCATTGAGGCTTAATATTCAGAAAATAAAGTAATTTTTGGATTTTTGTTTTTCAGCCTTTACTAAAGACTTAAAAGCAAGAAAAAAATAGTTATTTAAGTTTAGTTAACTTAGAATTTTATCAATCACTGCCAAAAAAACATTTTCCTTAGCTTCTAAAGCTAAAATATCACATAACTCCCAAGTTATTTCTTATATAAAATTAGAATTCTGTGTGCCACTGGCAAGCCTCAATTATTAAAAAATGCTAAACAAAAGACAAAGTAAAAGCCTACCATCTACTTATTTAAACATTATTAACCCCAGATAAAGTATTATTAACAAAACAACTTGTGAGTAATTCAAGACAGCAAGTAGATGTTTTTAGTTTTGTTCTGCAGTATGATCACACTTCTTCCAATAGATAATTCCTATTATAGAAATTACTATACAATTATCCAAGATCCATCTAACTCAGAATTATCAGAAAACACAAAAAAACAAAAAACAAAAAACCAGCTATATTAGAAGACTGAGGATCCCACCTCTCCATCTCCCGAAAAATGTAGCAGGGAAGGGGAAAGCCCTCCCCAAAACAAACCTGAACAAAACCAACCAACCCCACCCCTTAATTCCATGTGCTTGAACAGTTCATTGCAAGTGCACAATCTGAAAGTCTTTAGGATTTAAATTTCTTTGTGACAGTTCAGATTACCAATTATCTGTATCTGCAGCAAACTCAAGAAACCAGACAGCTAATTTCTGTGGTTTCATTGATGTAAAAAAGACATTCACAAAACAGTTCCCTCACCTGAGGAGGATGTTGACTTTGGGGAATCCTTCCCATTTTTCTCTGCATTCCGGGCATTCATTCTTCTTGGACGACACCCACCACAAGGCCAGGCAATGCCTGCAGAAGCTGTGCCCGCAGTTCAGGGTGGTGGGGTTGATCAGAATGTCGTAGCAGCAGTGGCACAGGAACTCACTGACCGATATCTGCCGGCCCAGGCCAGGAGCAGCACTCGGCTCAACTTCTGCCCTCTCTGTTTCCCCTCGTAAAGTCTCGCCTTCTTCCATTTTCCTTTATGCCTTACACAAACAGAAAGCTCTCTTAGATCTTCAAAGCAGATAAGGCACTACTTCTGCAAAGCAACATGAAAACAGCAATTATAGAAGTTTAGAATTGTGAGCAATGTGATTTATCATTGCACCGCTTTTGACACTCAAATGATTTTAAATTTTTAAGTAACTCAGCCCTCCCCAAAATGAAACATGATCTACTTTTTCAACAATATATTCATTGCCAACTACAATCAAAAGCAGATTCTAGATGTAAATAGCTGGGCTCAATCTCCCTATGTTTTCTTCTCCCATGCTATAAAATACATGAAAGGGAAACAAAACAAAATAATTCACTATGATTCACATGACTTTTGACTGTAGCCTTAGTCAAGGTTTTAGTAAAAGAAACCAGTCAAATAAAACATAATTAAACACTATAACCAGCAGATACAAAAATAAAATACCAGTATAATGTAATGATCTAATTCACTTTATCCCTCTTCTTTCAGCGCATATGGACTAAAACATTACTAACAGAGGTCAATGCTAGACATTGCTGGGCAATGTTAAAAAAAAAAAAGTTTGATCCACCAAGTCACATGCTTCAGAATCATAAGGGATTGATCTGCACACCTTGTCAGCCAAGGTCTAAACTCCACATTAACTTTACTTGTAGTTACTTTGTTAACATTACAGAAAATGCACAGATAAGAGTTTAAGACGGTTGCAAGTTTACAGAAAATATATTTGCTTGATGTTCCTACTCCATTCTCTTAGTCAGCAGTATATTTCTTAAGAAAAACACTGATCCAGTTCACTCATCACTCATGATATGTTAGAGGATACCAAGAACTAGACAATTTTCTCCTCAGACACTACCAAACCAAAACATGATTACACTCTCCACCTTGTGGCTCCTGCTTACCACTAAATTACCAACTTGTCACCCAGATCAAGCACGGAGAGGTAAACACGCAAGCAGGTAAAAAACAGAAATTACGAAAAAAGCACAAGTTCAAAACAGAAACCGATAGTGAAATTAGAATCCTTCGACTTCTAAACCTGTATTTCCGTGGCAAAGCACAGGCTGTTTGCTTTCTAAAACCTGAAACAGCACTTGTAAGAGGAGAAATAAAGCCAAGATTTTGCCCTTAAAAACAGTTTTCCTGAAAGAGGCAAGAGAATTTCTGTGGAAAATACAGGAAAAAGATTTCACCGCTCAGTCTGCGCCAAGTAAGAGGCAGCAGCAGAATGATTCCCAGCTCCTCTCCTGTCTCTTCCAGCTCCAGTTTCCTGCACCCCGCGCTGCTTCTTCAGGCACAGCACTGCGGGTCCGGGCCCGCGGCGTTTCCCGGTCGGACCGGCGGGGGCGGCCCCAGCCCGATGCTGGGCACACGCTCGGGCCCCGCGGCGCTCCAGCTGCAGCCCCGGGCCGAGCAGGGGCCGGGCCCGCGGCGTTTCCCGGCGGGGGCGGCCCCAGCCCGATGCTGGGCACACGCTCGGGCCCCGCGGCGCCCCAGCTGCAGCCCCGGGCCGAGCAGGGGCCGGGCCCGCCCAGCCGCTTCCGCCCCGGAGCACGGCGGCAGCGCCGCTCCTCCCTCAGCACGGCCGCCGGCCCACACCGCCGCCGCTCGCCTTCCATTGCAAGCGTTATCACCGGACGTGGGCACTGCTACACTCCCATTTCTGGGAATACACACACGTCTGTATTCGTGAGAACTGAGGCACGCTTGCTTACGGTACAGTAGGCACCCAGGCAGCATTCCTTCGCAGAAACTATTCAGGGTTGATTTTACAGTGGAGATTCGAGGTGTAATCTTAGCAGTACTTCAGGTGCTAGTTTCACCGCAGCGCTAACGCATCGTGCACAGACACTATTCTTACCGCATAAGAGTCAGTCCACACATGCACAATTACCTCCATCAGTCTCTGTTCCCTTACTGAAATTCTTTTGGCTAGTCCAAGAAAATTTGATTCACTCTCTACAACACCCTGACAGGAGGTTGTAGCCAGGTGGGGATGGGCCTCTTCTCCCAGGGAACGAGTGACAGGACTCAGCTTTACTCTGCACCAGGGCAGGCTTAGGCTGGCCATTAGGAAAGGGTATCAGACACTGGAATGGGCTGCACAGGGAGCTGGGGGAATCACCGTCCCTGGAGGCGTTTAAGGACCGGACAAAGCTCTGAGTGACACGGTATAAATGATATGGTGCTGTTTGTCACACGTGGGACTCAGTGATCCCAGAGGATTTTTCCAACCTAATTGATTCTGAAATGTACTTTTTCAACTGTCAAAAGAGACATTTTAAGATTTTGTTTCAGTTTGATACAAACGACAAGTCCAGTTCAAATGACATTATTCCAGCCTATTTCAAGAAAGAAAATAGTCTCTCATTGTTTTCTCTTTCATATTATCTAGTTTTTTTCCAGAGAACCAATCAACAGATCTTTAAACTACTCTAGCATGAAGGAATTCAAGCTCCTCTAGATCTGAGGAAGTGCATCTAGATCTACCTTGGTATGCAAGGTGAAAATGCAGCCCAGAATACTTGTTCTAGTTTTTTACTACTTTTTTGTGGCTTTTCACTTAGTTTCACATTCAATGTTCAGTAAAGTAAAAGAGCATACAAGTGTTTGATAGTCTGTGCAGCAGACTTGAATGATGTGAAAACATGGTCTTTCTGTTCCAGTTAATAAAACTTTTGACATATAAAAGGCCATGGAATCTTGAACCAACTGCTTGCATTGCGCTCTCATTTTTAGGTGCTCCTTCTGCTTACATAACAATGCATACCTGTTGAAGTAAGAAATGTCTAATCTGTAAGACACAGTACTTCAACTCCTATTGAAGTACTTAATTGCAGTACCTTGCTGTTTGACTCACAGTTTATTTTGTGGGTGAGAGAAGCAAAGAGTTCCCAGATTTGTCAGCTACTTGTGGGAAAATGTCAGGCTTCTAAAACAGCTGTCAAACACTTTAAAGTGTCATAAGCACTTTAATTTAAAAGTGCAGAAATGCATCTTAAAAAACTGAGGAGTAACATAAAAATTTTAGGCTTCAGCCAATTTACTGCAAAATAAAAACTTCTCTGCCATTTTAACTAACATCTTACTGGGAGTCATTTAATCATACTAGATGAATTGCTGGGAATGTCTGTTGAATAAATTGCTTATACTAAAAAGGCAAAGCTTAATATTGAAGAATCTTTAAAAGCTCTCTCCACTACATCCTGCATAATTATTTCTCTTTTTCTGTATGCAGAAATTGCCCTGCACAATTTGTGGAGAATTTTTCATTTGTTTCCATTATGCCAGAATTCTGGAAAAGATGCTTTACGAGCCGTGTGAACTCCAGCCCTGCAGCACAACCTCTGAACTCTTCTGCGGTCCGTGCCCACAGCTCCTGCCCCGTGTCCCTGTGCAGCACCTGTTCTCCGGGGCAGCTCTTCGTGGCACGGCGCTGCTGCGGGCCCATCCTGCTGCTCTTCTGCAGCGAACTCTCAAAGCGCCGTTTCTAAAGGAAAACGCTCCTTCTGTAACACGGCACGGCCTCCAGTTCCCCTGGAATTGTCATCATTAAGGCACGTCGCTAGCAGTTCTCCACCGTCCTCCCGGTGTCTCCTAGGCAGAGTTCCATGCCTTCCTCCTGGCTGCTGCTAGTTTCGTATTTCTGGCTTTGGGGGCGAGGCCCACATCTGTGACATTTCACCACAGAACCGCGGCTGGTGTAAGACTTCCTTCTCCCCGGCAGCCGTGCTGCAGCCGCTCCGGTCG